TACCATCTATAGACACAGACGCCTGCCTAGCTAATCCGTGTGATAATATTTTGCTGTTCAAAAGAATACTAGTACTAGTAACCTTTAAGATTATTGCATCCTTCTTTATCACATGAATAAGCCATTCATATTTTCTTATCTTACACCTGTTCTATAGACACAGATGCCTGTCTGGCTAATCCGTGTGACGCCCAGACCACCTGTACGGATAATCCTCCTCCTGCCCTTGATGCGACTTGTACCTGCAACACTGGATATACAGGAGATGGATTCGTTAATGGAACTGGGTGTTCAGGTAAAATGTATTCCATCTATAATGTAATCATACACTCTATGGTAAATGGAAATATAACCTGGGTGACCAAATTTCTTTTTCTTATGATCCTTATTCATAAGAATTACCTTTCAGATGCATTCGTCCTCTTCGCATGGATAAGTCATTCAACTTTTTCTTATTTTACATCTGTTCAATACACATAGATGTCTGGCTAATCCATGTGACTATGGTATGTTTCTGCTTGTTCCTTTCGTCTTTGAAAGTAAAACCTTAAGAATTCTGAATTCTCTCTTTTTTTTAAATTCATCTTTTTTGTAATTGTAAAACTGTGCTATAGACACAGACGCCTGCCTGGCTAATCCGTGTGACGCTCGGGCCACCTGTACGGATAATCCTCCTCCTGCCCTTGATGCGACTTGTACCTGCAACACTGGATATACAGGAGATGGTCTCGCTAGTGGTACTGGATGTTCAGGTATAAGATTTTTGCAAAAGTAATGTATGGTATCATATTATAAATGACAAAATATTGGATTTTTACTGTTATGTTTCTTGCATCATACCTGATGTTTCTTTCTATAGACATAGACGCCTGCCTGGCCAATCCGTGTGACGCCCAGGCCACCTGTACGGATAATCCTCCTCCTGCCCTTGATGCGACTTGTACCTGCAACACTGGATATACGGATATTCCTCATTCTGCCCTTGATGCGACTTGTACCTTCAATATCTTGTATGCAGGAGATGGTCTCGTGAAAGGAACTGGATGTTCAGGTGTCATTTTCATCAAATCTATTCCAGCATTACCTTCGTGGGCTGATTGACATATTGTTTGACTTTCTTATTACATCACCCTTTTTATCAATGCCGTTATACAATCGTTATACAATCGTTTTTTTCTCCCATTATATGTGCGTTTTAAACATAAGGCCATGTTGATTTGATTATATGGATGACATCCTCCGGGAGCCCCAAAACTGATGCGCGCGTGCGAATAAAAAAAAGTTTTGCAAAAAAAAAAAGTTGTTTTCATTATGAAATCTACGTGGTCATGAGGGTTGAGTAAATGGCACAGAATATGGTTTGGCGAATAATCTAGTTTTCAAGTTCATTTCTTTACAATTTCGTCTTTTTTCGTTTGATTTTGGCATTCTACGACATTGGTATAGTTTTTATTAATTTTTTTTTGTAACTTATGGTATATTTTTGCTCATTTTGCAACTGTTTTGTACGATTTACAGTATGGTTGAAAACTTTTTTTTTGGAAACGGCCGAAAATTCATGCGCGCGCGGATGTCATCCATATAATCAAATCAACATGGCCTAATCTAAAAACAAAATCTAAAACTAACGAAAATGACTCTAACCCATGCAGTATCAAACGCGCCCCCTAGGCGAATGAACCGGATACTACACGGTGTCCGTGAAAATCTGCAGCTATTTTCCATGAATGACACTTCTACCGTGGCAGACTGGGAAAAGTGGAGAACAGGGAAGGCAGTTCCACAGGGTTATAAGAAGGAATGCAGTCCGTCTACTGGAGGTATTAGAGATTCGACTCGTCAAGAAACTTATAATGATTATGATGCTCATTTTTCATCAATATTCTTCTCAATGTTCACAAGTAAGCTTATGGTCAATGGACACGAGGAATGAGTGTTGTATGGTCACATTTCTACTGAGTGATTTGTTTGATGATTACATTTATACGAGACAGGCATCACTATCAATATGAAGCCTTCATTTCAGAAAACACTGTTTCAATACCACCGGCAAGTAAGAGTCATGTCTTGCCATTTTAATTAGGTATTAGGTGGTTTGTAATTCCTGTATGTGTTTTTTTCATACATCTCAATGGAATAATTATCAAATTTTTCTTCTATTCAGTAACAGATGGCAAAGTCGAGGTGATCAGCACCGTGGCTGTTCTTGAAGTCGGCCCGCTTTCTGAAGCGAACTCGGTAAGTCTTGCGACAACAGAATTTCCTACGAGACCTGCACGACTATCCTAAGAATGCCCTCAGTTTGCGATCGCAAGACGACCGCACGCACATATGGAGATGTGTCATGCAGAAACCCTTTTAAATGAATGCGATATTTATCCTGCCTCAAAATATCACCATATCTATATCTGCATCATCTTCTCCAGAACATGACAGTGACGATTGAATACTCCATGGCCTGGGTTGACAATCGGCTTGCAGAGCTGACAAGTCAGGTGACTCCGGTATCCACTACCCTCCTATGGGTGCCCCCAGTCGCCTTCGGAAGAACCGTGCGGAGGGTCGCGCACATCAATGATGACGGCAAAAGGAACAGCACAATAAACATGTGGCTTCACCAACAAGGGATCATGTTCTATAAATTCACGTACGTACCCCGGAAAACAGTTACTCATGTGATGTTGGAAACGGTAAGATGTTTCAGGTATCCAGTAGACATAACTGTTTATGGCGTATCTTATTACCTTTATGTCTAACCTTCACCGACGTATCACGTAAATACTTCTTCACAAGTCGTCAAGCCACATATATATGTGTGGCAATTGAAAACGAAATATCGTCTTGATAGAAATCGTTTTTATAGTCTTGCTGATATTACAATGCAAGAGAGAGATTTTTGAAAACTGATACACAAGGCATTAACAGGTCTCTTTGACACCATTGTAGCCTATTTGTCTCATCTTAGGAGAAGGTTGGAGTTGATTTGTCCGCCAAGCCTACAGAAATACCCATTTGACGACTTTGAATGCACCATCGAGCTTCATGGATGTAAGTGATTTCTTTCGTATTAATACATTATACTTTATAAGTTTCAACCTTTGTTCCTTTTTCACTCATGACTCCAATCAAGTGTTAAAATAAACATAAATGTGTCCCGTCTGTTTGAGATGATAATATCGACAATTTGCCTTTCATCTAGACGGTGGTCTCGTCTTCCCCTTCCGTCAGCCGTCCAAGTACAATAAAGCACAACCTGTCCACGTGGACATGACGGCAGTGACGTCACAGTTCGAGATGACAGGACTGAAACTCAGGTCAAGAGTTGCCCCACTCAATCAGGATTCATCTGATCCAACTACAGGTAAACCATTGTTCTACGTATCTAGTACGAATCAGAAATACAATAACGTTATAACAGCGATTTTATCACAAATTATCTCTATGTACACTAACTGCATATGAATATGTTAAGTTACATACTAGACCTGTTGTTGACCATGTGCAGGTTGTGACATGTTCGAAGCCAACTGTACCTTCCCTGCAAACCACTGTCCGCTGATGAAAGGTTGTACTGAAACTTTGGACGGTGACGAATGTTACTGGTGTAAAAACTTGGTGGGAACGTGCAGCTACATGAGCGCCACTGACCAATGTTCCAACACATCAGCGGGTGAGAATATTTGCTTGAATCCAGGTAGAATTTCAGTCAAGTAACATTGTCAGAGTAAGCAGTAGATCAACTAAGGACGGGGTTAAACGCTTTATTTCGTTGACTTTCCTCATTCAATATTTGGAAAATATATTATTATATATTATGTTATTATAATATTTATTATAATACTTTCCTCATTTGGGGCCACCTTATATCAATGATTATGCATACTTTGCCGTCTAGAAATTAAGCATATCAATGCTTTTATTATTATTTTTTGTAAGATTTTTTTAAACAATAAAATCTTTCTAGGGATTAAGTTTTCACTGGATGTGTACTGAAGTACTTTTTTAATAGTGTGATCTTACTTCACAATGTTACAGGACTGTCGACACTTGAGATCCAGCTGAGATTCTCTCGTCGAAGATGGAGTCACGTGTTTCGTACGTTCGTCCCCAGTGTCGTCATTGTGGGCTGTTCCTGGATGTCCTTCTGGCTCCATCCCAGGGACATCACGGCACGAGTCCAGCTTTGTGTCACGGCCATACTGGCGCTCATCACAATGGCCGGCAATCGTAAGGAGCATGGGGTAAGTAAGACTATCCAACTCTTAGTGGTATTATGTCTAAGTGCTGTTTTATATGTAGCACTTAAGGGCAGAGATCAGTTAAGGTCATTTTATATCTGTTTCGTATTTTTCTTTGAGATGTTTCTGTGGGAACTTTTGGTTAGGACGGTCCAGACTTCTGCCGGAGAGAAAGAATTTTCTCCATGAATGAGATGGTGGAATATTTTGGCATGGACGTCCATTTTGTATGCCACGCCTGATAAACTATAGAAATCTAGCTTCGAAGTTTGAAATATACTACGCGTTATAAGTCCAATGCCTATTAGCTCTTGCACAATTACAGATCACAGTTGTAAGGGCAGAAGATGTCTGGATGTGCGGCGGTGTCATCCTCGTCATCCTGGCTCTGTTTGAGTCAGTTGCTGTCAACTCCATACTCCGCGGCAGTGTCTTCAATGTAAGTCAAATGAACAAGTTTTGCTTGTACAACGACACCAAATGAATTAACACATTGAATAGTTGAAAACGTACATGTGCGCAGAACGTGTTAATCAAAATTTCCCTGGTCTTCATTACTTAAGTACTAGCCTACTGCTGAACTAGCTCACACAGTCGTGAAAGAAACTCGCCTCAGCTGATTTGACGGACGAACCGTCTTCTCTCTCCCCACACATACAGCTCTCCTTCCGCAGAACCCGCAGGGGAAGAGTTGGGCCGATCCCGGGACCTTCCACAGCCTGGGCAGAAGAGGAGGAAACGTCATCTCCCGAGACTGTTGCCAACAGGATCGACTTCTTCTCCAGAATCCTGTTCCCAATCAGTTTTACTGTCTTTGTGGCCGGATTCCTTCTCTACTATTTGGCGTGAAATGCTTAGTATGCCTCTTGACAATGTTCTTGAATATCCAAATGGCTCATTTAAAAGTGGGCATATAAAATTTTACCTGGCCGAATGAGATGCTTTGTAATAAGATGAGAAAGTTTATGTATGAAATAATATATGTTTGAATATACTTCTGTAGATATTTAGATATAGATGCCTCTGGTCTGTGACTGTTGGTCGATTTTGTACATATGGATTTAAAAAGCATGCTGTTCTTTGTTTTTCATGTATATCATACTTATAGTACACGACCTCTACGACCGGTCGACCATACCTCTTTTCGACCTGAGGCAATAATTATCGAGGATAGTTCATTAAACTTTCATGGACGTTATGTTGATAATGGCAGTGCTGTAGGAGCAGAATAACTATATCAATGTTTTATTTACACCAATCGAGGCAAATGTGCTCCAGCTATTTCTTCTGCATGTTCATTCAGATCGTTTTAAATTACAGAGTAGGGCAATTACCATTCAACGGTAGAACCGACATCGCATGATTGAAAAAATAATAAAGTTGGTATCAAATGATGATGCAGCCATAATTCATAAAGTGTATTCTCATCAAAGACAGTTGTTTAATGGTCACATTTCATTTGAGCCCCTCAATTGCTATGTACAAATGGAAGTCTACAAATCGCCTCTTTCCTTCCCTTATTAAGGGGTGTTAATTTAACGTTATGCCCCATTTATGATGTTGATGATAACATTGTTGTTTTTTAAAAGATATACTCACAGCGTACTATTGAAGTAATTACCCCCTGTACCACGACCATGAAGGTCGTTCCAAGGAAGTGCAAACGAAGCGCCTTCTTACGAATCATGACCAAATTACATGCAAAGCATTCAATGATGAACAGTGAATATCTGAAATTGTCTATAACAGCAACCATTAGAAGCGTTTAAACACAATAATGATAAGTCATTACAGCAAATTGTGAATGATCTCAAGACCATGATAGACACATGTCGATGATAACGTATTTACACCTTATGTCTTTTTTCATAGAGAACTCGAGGAGACACAGACGTTTTAAATCAATCTTAAGGCCTTCAAGTGTTTAATGACATATAGCTATAGGAAGACAGGCGTACCTTTGTGTTTTTGTTTTCGGATCGATGGTTTGTACAACAAGTTTCCCAACAATACCAAATATCATCACCCATTCTTGTGTATTCCTTCATTTTAAAATTTACCCAGTCTTTTTTCTTGGCGTTCTCTTAAATTCTGTTAACACAAGGGCTCTGTCACATTCGTCGTGCAATCGTCGTACGATCGCAAACTGAGATCATTCTTGGGATAGTCGTGCCAGTGTAATTCAGTTTAATTTTTAAGGAAAAATTAAAGATGTGTGAGATTCTTGTCTGTCACATCCAACTTGAAAATACTACGACATTCATGTTAAGTCGTACGACGCCATAGCCTAGGACGAATGTGACCCCGCCGTAAGACACTTATTCGGAGAAAAAGGGGGATGTCAATGCAAGGCATCATAGTACATACTTGTAAGGACAGTTCCCAGTAATAAGACTGTAAATGATATCGTTCTATCCCATGTAGTTTATGAATAAGAGTATAAGTCTCCCCCCTTTTTCGACTGACTGTTGAACATGTGAAGAGATGGAATCGTGAAGGGACGTCCGTTGTGCTCTTGTGTGACTTCTATCCCGTCGTGCAGCAGAAGACCCTGGATGCTTCCCTCCCGCCTTGTTCCGACCGAGGTAAGGACAACTTTGTGTCTTCAAACCCGAAGGGAGAAATTTCTGGAGGCACCTGTTTGATGGTAAGACATTTAGTGATTAGTTTAATGTGGCATTTAGTGATTGAGCCCAAAATCATTGATGTACGATGCCAACAGCAGGCTCGTTTTTGTATTGATTAGAAAAAAAAGACACAATGTTTTACTCACGGTATCTAAAGCATGTTGTCAACATGAACAACATTAAAAAACATGAGCAAGCTAGTCATAAAACTATAAAATTGCCATATCTTTATCAGCTGGTTGCATTGACTCATTGTGTCCTGGTCTCGTGTTACTGTACGATACGACATGGATTCAACGATTCAACACTATTCATTCTCAGACTGCCAATTTGAAAATGTGTGTAGAATTACGTTAGAGTATTGAAGTTCAACACACATGTTGACGCCAACATATGCTGGCAACATCACTGATAGTACTATTTTAAGGTATCACAATAGATACAAGAATCATCACCATCTGCCAAAGACCATCCTCCCATGGCAGGGGCAGCGGCTCCGAATTCCTTCTCCACCCCTACCCCTGCCGAATAACATGGCATCTTCTACTCTACGACCCGATTCCAGGGACACGCTCTCAGCCAATCACGTATCACAGAGAAAATCTTCAACGCACTTTACATTAATATTTATGAGATGCGCTAGCTATCGGAACCAATCATGTCGGCTATTCAGTGACAAATAAAAACAAACATGGCGTCGTCTCGGGAAGAGAACTTTTGCGATGCAGGCCGCTGCGGGCGTCGGCGGGGCGCTAGCGTGTGCTGGAGGCTGCGCGCGGATCCCGCCGAGCACGGGGAAGGTGTTAACTCGGTGACTTTGCCCCGCACGGCCTCCCCAACGCGTTAACGGGCTCGTCACCGGGCGGCGGCGGAGTCGCCGGCGGGGAGGGTGACGTCCCTTCGCCGCCCAAGTCAGAAATGGGGTCATGCCAAATAAGGCAAGCTCATGAATATTAATATTCCTCGGGTCGTAGAGTAGAAGATGCCATGTTATTCGGCAGGGGTAGGGGTGGAGAAGGAATTCGGAGCCGCTGCCCCTGCCATGGGAGGATGCCAAAGACAGATTTAGAATTGAAGTATCTTACCTTATCTACAATATCATCTACCAGTTTCAAGAAGACGTCTTTCACATTCAAGTTCTCTTTGGCACTGACTTCACAGAACCGACAGTTGTGCTCATAAGCAAACTATGAAGAAGTATTGAGAAATAACAATAAATTCGATGCCTTCATGTCTGAAACATCGAAACGAACAGCAAAATTGTTCCACGGCATTAGAGCCTGTATTTTACCCAATAACACATAGATGGCGCTCCATGCATGTCAGAGTAACGCCCAACGAGCAAACGTCTAGATATGTCACGAGCGGTGAGCGTGAAAATTACTAATGTAGGATTTTTCTCTCGTGTTGTTCACGAAATACAAAATGTACGTACACGTACGTGTGGAATACAAATTATCAGAGGCATGTCACATAAACCGATGTACTCTGGGTATCTTAAATGAAATATAAAGTTTTGTGAACATGCTATTTCTTACCTTCTCTCCCCTTTCTGTGCTTACTTGTCTTAGTTCTTCTTTGTCTGTTTTGTTGCCAATGACAATAACTTCTATATCAGGAGCAGCATGCTGGAAGGTGGGATATCAAAAGGAACATCGTTTGCGACAAAAGAAGCGTGTTTCCAATACGACAAAATTATTAAAATACTACTTGAAATAACAGCAAAATCGTTAGGCGGCAACATACATCTTACACTTAAACAGGGATATATTTTCACATTCTGTGTCCTAATAATAGTATGGATGTTTTGTTTTCGGAGTGTTTGTCTGTTATATAGTTATTTAAATACAGCAGCGTCACAGGAGGTGACGGGGCAATGGTGTAGCCGCAGGCGCAGGGAGGTGGAATTGGAGAACATAATGGTGACAGTGAAATATACACGGAATCAGTGTGAAATTCACAACGATTAATAAAATTCATCAACTATACGTGTACAAACTTGACGGAGGTGTGGCTATAACTTTCTT